GGGGGATATTGCATCCAGGCAGCGCCAGAGCCACCCCCTCACCCCCAAAAAAACACCATCGAGCCTCGTGGGACCCCAAAAAAAAAAGCTTTATTTTCCACCCACCGGCCCCAGGGTGTTGCAGGGTTGGGGGACACACACACAAAGGGGGGAATTTTGGGGTGTGTGGGGGTCACACCAGCTTCTTGGCCTCGAAGAAGCTCTTGAGGTGCCTCATCTGCCAGATGCCCGTGAGGATGAGGATGATGGTCTGGGCGATGGACCACCAGAGGACCCGCTGGTTGGTGCTCTCGCTGGTCATGCGGAACCGCTCCTCCCGGTACTGCCCAAAAAAATAGGAATTAGGGGGGATTAAATAAAAAAATGAAGGTTGAGGGGGGGGAAAAAGGGAAAGGGGGGGTCTCTTCTGCTCACCCGTTGGTAGTTTTGCTCTTTTTGGATCTGCTCCACCTGGTCGAGGAGCTGGCGGGCGCGGAGCTGCAGCTCCGTCAGCTTGTCCTTGGCGGCAATTTCGGGGTAGTTGTTGGTGTGTTCCCCCACCTGGATGTCCAGGTGGACCCGCTGCGGGGGGGGGAGGAGACATTATCAGACTCTCGTTGTTGTCCTCACCCCTTTTTTTGGGGTGCCTTTCCCCCTCCCAGTCCTGAAGGTTGAGGGGGGGGAAAAAGGGAAAGGGGGGGTCTCTTCTGCTCACCCGTTGGTAGTTTTGCTCTTTTTGGATCTGCTCCACCTGGTCGAGGAGCTGGCGGGCGCGGAGCTGCAGCTCCGTCAGCTTGTCCTTGGCGGCGATTTCGGGGTAGTTGTTGGTGTGTTCCCCCACCTGGATGTCCAGGTGGACCCGCTGCGAGGGGGGGAGGAGACATTATCAGACTCTCGTTGTTGTCCTCACCCCTTTTTTTGGGGTGCCTTTCCCCCTCCCAGTCCTTACCAGTTTGCCGCCGGCGAAGAGGGCCATGCGTGTGGAGTTGGAGTGGAGGCAGATCTGGTGCTCGCCCGGCGTGTGGGAGGTGAAGGTGAAGCGCCCCTCCGAGCCGTATTGCCGGGACAGCACCACCTGGGTCACCATATTGTCACCTTCCCCGCGGGGGGGACACTGGGACACCCCCCACCCAGGTGGAAGGGCACCCCGTGGTCCTCAGGGACACCCCACCCAGGTTGGTGGGTGCTCCAGGATCCCCAGGGACACCACGTTGAGGTTGGTGGGGGACACCACGCACCCCAGGGACCCACCACCCAGGATGGTGGGCACCCCATGGTCCTCAGGGACCCGCCACCCAGGCTGGCAAGCACCCCATGGACCCCCCACCGAGGATGGTGGGGATCCCATGCACCCCAGTGACCCCCCATGGTCCTCAGGGACTCCACACCCCAGCTAGTGGGGCCCCCATGCACCCCAGGGACCCCCCACCCAGGTTGGTGGGTGCTCCGTGATCCCCAGGGACACCATGCTCAGGTTGGTGTGGGACCCCACACACCCCAGGGACCCCCCACCCAGGATGGTGGGCACCCCATGGTCCTCAGGGACCCCACGGCCCAGCTAGTGGGGACCCCACGCACCCCAGGGACCCCCCACCCAGGCTGGTGGGTGCTCCGTGGTCCCCAGGGACACCATGCTCAGGTTGGTGGAGGACACCGTGCACCCCAGGGACCCCCCACCCAGGATGGTGGGCACCCCAGGGACCCCCTGTCCTGGCTGGTGGAGCACCCTGTGGTCCCCAGGGACCCCACGCTCAGGTTGGTGTGGGACCCACCAGGATGGTGGGTGCTCCATGGTCCTCAGGGACCCCCCACCCAGGCTGGCAAGCACCCCATGGTCCTCAGAGACCCCCCCATCCAGGTTGTTGGGTGCTCCAGGATCCCCAGGGACCCCACCCCCAGGCTGGTGGGGACCCCAGGGATCCCAGGGACCCCCCACCCAGGATGGTGGGCACCCCATGCACCCCAGGGACCCCCCACCCAGGCTGGCAAGCACCCCATGCGCCCCCTGTCCTGGCTGGTGGGGCACCCCGTGGTCCTCAGGGACCCCCCACCCAGGCTGGTGGGCACCCCATGCACCCCAGGGACCCCCCACCCAGGATGGTGGGCACCCCATGGTCCTCAGAGACCCCCCCATCCAGGATGGTGGGTGCTCTGGGATCCCCAGGGACCCCATGCTCAGGCTGGTGGGGACCTCAGGGACCTCCCACCCAGGCTGTGGACACCCCATGCACCCCCCACCCCAGCTGGCAGGCACCCCAGGGACCCCCTGACTTCATGGGCAAGCACCCTGTGCTCCCCAGGGACCCCTCACCCAGACTTGTGGGCACCCCATGCACCCCAGGGACCCCTCACTCCAGCTGTGGGGCACCTCAGGGACCCCCACCCCA